CCTATTTTACTGCTAGGTAACAGGGGCATAGGGTGAAAGAAACTCTGCCCATTGTTTCTCGCTGGCGCCCGGGATCGAACCCGGGACCACAGGATCACAAGTCCAGTGTGCTGTCCGCTCGGCCGACCAGCTCCCCTCCGACCTCTCCGACCTGCATGAAGCGAGACCGTCGCTCTACCGTCCACCCCAAGTGGTTGGGTGCACTTGGAAGGGATGAGGGTACAAATAGCTGGGGTTATTATGGAGTCCAAACCGTAATGCGTCCATTGTGAGCACATACTCACGACATGACAAGTCGCAGTGCTGGAGTTTAGGCTTGGTGTTGGCCTTAAGCCTTATCAAGCTCTTGAGAGTTAAAGGCCACCACAATAGCTTCCAGACCAATTACCAAGTAAAATTTTAGTCTTTTAAAAAGTTGTAGTACAATGACAACCACTGTTTTTGCCGGGTTGGGGGTTCGATTCCCGATGGTCTGGGTGGTTGGGCACCGTTACTTCATCCCGTACTCATATCCCAGCTCCTTGTCCTCATATCCCAGCTCCTTGTCCTCATATCCCAGCTCCTTGTCCTCATATCCCAGCTTCTTGTCCTCATATCCCAGCTTCTTGTCCTCATATCCCAGCTCCTCGTCCTCATATCCCAGCTCCTTTTCTCCATATCCCAGCTCCTTGTCCTCATATCCCAGCTCCTTGTCCTCATATCCCAGCTCCTTGTCCTCATATCCCAGCTCCTTGTCCTCATATCCCAGCTCCTTGTCCTCATATCCCAGCTCCTCGTCCTCATATCCCAGCTCCTCGTCCTCATATCCCAGTTCCTTGTCCTCATATCCCAGCTCCTTGTCCTCATATCCCAGCTCCTTGTCCTCATATCCCAGCTCCTTGTCCTCATATCCCAGCTCCTTGTCCTCATATCCCAGCTCCTCGTCCTCATATCCCAGCTCCTCGTCCTCATATCCCAGTTCCTTGTCCTGGCATCCCAGCTCCGTGTCCTCATATCCCAGCTCCTTGTCCTGGCATCCCAGCTCCGTATCCTCATATCCCAGCTCCTCGTCCCCATATCCTACCTCCTTGTCCTCATAGTGCTCTCAAGTGTTACACTGAAACACTTACTTAGCACACCCTCTTTATAACTGCCTTAACTTACCTTGGGAAATGACCCAGAAACTGAAGACGTTTCGGACAAGATACAGCTTCTGATATTTCGTCACAGCTCCGGCCAAATGCCGCCTGAAGTCAGAAGGAAGCACTCAAGTGGTTGTCCTTGGTCCACCAAAAAGGTAATAGATGATTAGAACAAAACATCAATGTGAGCGGCCTCTTGTTCTTCCTAACGCTTGTCTTATAATGTGATTATTAAAAGTATAATTTTAATTAGTTTTCCTGCAGAAATTATTTGATTTCATGGGTTAGAGATTTCAAGTGTAACTTTTTGTTTCACTATAATTCTAAAGTTGCGAGTGGGGGTAAAAGTCATAGTTTCGTTCTTAGTATTTAACCCGGTGTACTAAACTGGTGGGCCAGTGTCCTAAACTGGTGGGCCGGTGTCCTAAACTGGTGGGCCGGTGTCCTAAACTGGTGGGCCGGTGTCCTAAACTGGTGGGCCGGTGTCCTAAACTGGTGGGCCGGTGTCCTAAACTGGTGGGCCAGTGTCCTAAACTGGTGGGCCGGTGTCCTAAACTGGTGGGCCGGTGTCCTAAACTGGTGGGTCGGTGTCCTAAACTGGTGGGCCGGTGTCCTAAACTAGAGGGCCGGTGTACTAAACTGGTGGGCCGGTGTCCTAAACTGGTGGGTCGGTGTCCTAAACTGGTGGGCCGGTGTCCTAAACTGGTGGGCCGGTGTCCTAAACTGGTGGGTCGGTGTCCTAAACTGGTGGGCCGGTGTCCTAAACTAGAGGGCCGGTGTACTAAACTGGTGGGCCGGTGTCCTAAACTGGTGGGCCGGTATCCTAAACTGGTGGGCCGGTGTCCTAAACTGGTGGGCCGGTGTCCTAAACTGGTGGGCCGGTGTCCTAAACTGGTGGGCCGGTGTCCTAAACTGGTGGGCCGGTGTCCTAAACTAGAGGGCCGGTGTACTAAACTGGTGGGCCGGTGTCCTAAACTGGTGGGCCGGTGTACTAAACTGGTGGGCTGGTTATGTTTTAAACACATGTTAAAATTTAGTTTTTCTGGCTTTCCCCAGAAACAATGACCTACCGGGTTAGAGTACGTTAGGATCTCGCTGCTTCAACGAGATCTTCTATATTCATCTGTGCAATATTGCGTAGCAATATCGTAAGACTTGTCCTGCTGTGACGTTGCAATCTTGCGTGCGTCTACTTGCAATTCGGAAGATGGAGTTGCTGGTCATCCTGTAATGAAAAGGAACTGTACAACCTGTGACAAAATTTCTCATATATATATATATATATATATATATATTTTATTAAATATGACCGAAAAAGTAAGATTAATAATTCTAACACGAATTTTCTCAATCTTTCGTACATTATGCTTCACTGTTGGAGGTAAATCAAAAATCACTTCTCCAAAATTCATTTTTATTTCTAGTCTGACGCGACACGGGCGCGTTTCGTAAAACTTATTACATTTTCAAAGACTTCACAAATACACAACTGATTAGAACTTGCGTTTCCCTGATTTTATATCTACATTTGAGTGAGGTGGGAAGGGTGATGTGGCATTACATTTGAGTGAGGTGGGAAGGATGATGTGGCATTAGAGGATATTAATAGGGTATTAAAAGTATCAACACAAGACAGAACACGAAACAATGGATATTGAATAGAAGTGTTTGTAGAAAGCCTATTGGTCCATATTTCTTGATGCTTCTATATTGGAGCGGAGTCTTGAGGTGGGTAGAATATAGTTGTGCAATAATTGGCTGTTGATTGCTGGTGTTGACTTCTTGATGTGTAGTGCCTCGCAAACGTCAAGCCGCCTGCTATCGCTGTATCTATCGATGATCGATGATAGATACAGCGATAGCAGGCGGCTTGACGTTTGCGAGGCACTACACATCAAGAAGTCAACACCAGCAATCAACAGCCAATTATTGCACAACTATATTCTACCCACCTCAAGACTCCGCTCCAATATAGAAGCATCAAGAAATATGGACCAATAGGCTTTCTACAAACACTTCTATTCAATATCCATTGTTTCGTGTTCTGTCTTGTGTTGATACTTTTAATACCCTATTAATATCCTCTAATGCCACATCATCCTTCCCACCTCACTCAAATGTAATGCCACATCACCCTTCCCACCTCACTCAAATGTAGATATAAAATCAGGGAAACGCAAGTTCTAATCAGTTGTGTATTTGTGAAGTCTTTGAAAATGTAATAAGTTTTACGAAACGCGCCCGTGTCGCGTCAGACTAGAAATAAAAATGAATTTTGGAGAAGTGATTTTTGATTTACCTCCAACAGTGAAGCATAATGTACGAAAGATTGAGAAAATTCGTGTTAGAATTATTAATCTTACTTTTTCGGTCATATTTAATAAAATATGTCTACAGGAAAGACTGCTACCAAAATATACTAATATATATATATATATATATATATATATATATATATATATATATATATATATATATATATATATATATATATATATATATGTCGTACCTAGTAGCCAGAACGCACTTCTCAGCCTACTATGCAAGGCCCAATTTGCCTAATAAGCCAAGTTTTCATGAATTAACTGTTTTTCGACTACCTAACCTAACTTTTTCGGCTACCTAACCTAACCTAACCTATAAAGATAGGTTAGGTTAGGTTAGGTAGGGTTGGTTAGGTTTGGTCATATATCTACGTCAATTTTAACTCCAATACAAAAAAATTGACCTCATACATAATGAAATGGGTAGCTTTATCATTTCATAATCAAAACATTTGAGAAAATATATTAATTCGTGAAAACTTGGCTTATTAGGCAAATCGGGCCTTGCATAGTAGGCTGAGAAGTGCGTTCTGGCTATTAGGTACGACATATATATATATATATATATATATATATATATATATATATATATATATATATATATATATATGTCGTACCTAGTAGCCAGAACGCACTTCTATGCCTACTATTCAAGGCCCGATTTGCCTAATAAGCCAAGTTTTCATGAATTAATTGTTTTTCGACTACCTAACCTACCTAACCTAACCTAACGTTTTCGGCTACCATACCTAACCTAACCGATAAAGATAGGTTAGGTTAGGTTAGGTAGGGTTGGTTAGGTTCGGTCATATATCTACATTAATTTTAACTCCAATAAAAAAAAAATTGACGTCATACGTAATGAAATGGGTAGCTTTATAATTTCATAAGAAAAAAATTAGAGAAAATATACTAATTCATGAAAACTTGGCTTATTAGGCAAATCGGGCCTTGAATAGTAGGCATAGAAGTGCGTTCTGGCTACTAGGTACGACATATATATATATATATATATATATATATATATATATATATATATATATATATATATATATATATATATATATATATATATATATATATATGACAATGTCAGACCACGGAGGAAAAATGAAACAGGAAATTTCCTTAAGTACTTTCGGAACATCTGTCAAATGATAACGCAGGTGTCCTAAGGCCAGCTCAGCGTGGACAGAAACCTCGCGTAGAGCAAAAGGGCCATTTGGGCTTGGACCTTCTGAAGATGTATTTAATATACGAAAGTACTTAAGGAAATTTCCTGTTTCATTTTTCCTCCGTGGTCTGACATTGTCACATTCTTAATCACGTGTTTATTTTCGTGATATACACACACACATATATATATATATATATATATATATATATATATATATATATATATATATATATATATATATATATATATATATTTCCACAGGCCCACAGGTGTGGTCCTGTGGGGAGATAACAGGTGTAGGCCAGATAGATTGCTATAGTAAAGAACAATGACAGATTTATCTCTAATTATCAGCTGACTATCTCATATCAGCGTCCCCTGAGGTGAAGGTGGGAGTAGCACATCAGGTTCAGTACTCAAACACCACCACTGTGGCACCCTAACACTCACTAGCCCACTACAGGTAAGTCTGAACCAGACCCCAGGAACAGCAGCTAGTACACACTTCCAGCACACGGCATAAGAAAGACCCCAACCACTTTTGTTGCTTGCGATATGATGAAAGAGAAATAGAATCAAACTCAAGGGGCTACAAGACTCTTGGCCAATAATCTCGGGCCAAGACCTTGGGGCCAAGACCTTGGGGCCAAGACCTTGGGGCCAAGACCTTGGGGCCAAGGCTCTCCGGTGAAGATTACCATAAAAAAAGGTTCTGAGCACGCGAACATTTTGCATATTATTTCCAGATCAGAGACAGGATTTGAGGAACACTTTATCGTTTAAGGAAACCTTTCTGGTCACTTTCCAGCAGAGTTGCCCCGGGTGGACACCGAGAACATCGAGAATCAGTTCATGTGTTCCTTTCCCAATCACTTGGACAGTCGGGGATCGAACGCCGACCTGTAGGAAGCACTGTCGTCGCCGCTCACACCACTTTAAGTGGTTGGGAAGGAAAGAAGTAGACTGATTAACGGTGATTTCCCAGTGTTTACACATCTAACTCTGCAGGAGTGAGACTAGATTTTCCTTAGAAGGTAAAGTGATTAACACAATGAAGGCCACGTTTCCTGCAGGTCGGTGCTCGATCCTCGATGATCCAAGTGGTTGGGCACCATTTCGTCCCTCCGTCCTATCCTAGATTACATAGTCATACTAACAGTATTTTTTCTTGATCATTGTATTACCTTAACAAGCTCCCAGGAAATAAAGACGTTACTGATGTGTAAAAATGGCAATAAATATATGTTTTAATACCAATATTCAAACTGGTCAGTAGAACGAATCTTATAATTAAGATTCTTTCGAAACTTATAATTAAGGATGAGTGGCGCTGCCCAATACTGTCACTATGGCGGTGTGTCCACTCACAGGATGAGTGGCGCTGCCCAATACTGTCACTATGGCGGTGTGTTCACTCACAGGATGAGTGGCGCTGCCCAATACTGTCACTATGGCGGTGTGTCCACTCACAGGATGAGTGACGCTGCCCAATACTGTCACTATGGCGGTGTGTCCACTCACAGGATGAGTGACGCTGCCCAATACTGTCACTATGGCGGTGTGTCCACTCACAGGATGAGTGGCGCTGCCCAATACTATCACTATGGCGGTGTGTTCACTCACAGGATGAGTGACGCTGCCCAATACTGTCACTATGGCGGTGTGTCCACTCACAGGATGAGTGGCGCTGCCTTATAAACTCGCCCTTCATGACAAAATTTAAAAAATAATGATAATTTAGCTTTTTTATTAAATACCATCTTTTTTGTGCTCTGCAGGTGAGTGATGGCGGGTGGTGGCGGCCACGGCTACACCGAGGGCGGCCTCTCCCTCCTTCCCCTCCAGATGGCGTCGTCATCGACACCTGGAGTCGACTCTGTATGTAAACAAACTCTCGGCAGCCTCAATGATCTCCCAAATAAAGTAGTATTTCTCTTAGGCGACGATCTGGAGATGAAGGCATCCGTTAAGGATGCCTTTGTGAATTATATATTTGACGTACAGGTCAGGAGTACCTATCGTCTGATCCTGGCTGACAATTTTGCCTTCGAGGATGTTCAAGATATTATATATGTCTACATTTTCAATCAAACGGGTGACATGAGTTTGCCCTTCAATCTGGTCTTTGTTGACGTGCCTCCCTTAGGGTACTCGGGCGGCACAGAGAGAGACGTGAGAATCCTACAAGATTTAGAAGGATTTCTCCAGCAAGAGTTTGGGACAACGATGGTCGATGCTGTCAGTTTTGTGGTCCAGACGTCTACGGATATTCTTCTCCCACTCGTCAACACCTACGAACTGCTGTGCTGTGCGTTCGACGACCTGGAGAGTATCACACAGGTCCTGGTGACTGACCCCACGTCCTACATGCCTCTGCTAAACTCACTTAAAAAGGCTAACATTGCTTACAATAACTTGTTTATCTTTGATAATGGCGAAAAAACAACAGCACATATCAGTCCAGAAGAACACTTCTTTCTACAAATATTTCGGCTCTTCGACTATCATGGTGTAGACGATTTTTTTCAGGAGTTGAAGAGTTCTTCACCTTTGAGGATGTCGTTAGGTAAGCAGCTAGAAGATGGACTTGTGGATGTGACTGAAATATCAAGACTAAGAGTCATTCACCAGTTCACAGAGGTTGTGGGGCACCACGAGGGTCTGGACCTTCGCCAGTTGGTGATGAAGTTGGACCACAGGGACGATGGAACAAGAGTAATGAAGCTCACCTTAGGTGACACCAACGACAAACCAACTAAGGTCGTTCTCCTGGTGGGCGACAGAGAATCGGGTAAAACTACTCTCGCCACGGCAATGGTCAACTACATCTTCGGCGTCAAATTCCACGACAACTTCCGTTTATTAATAAATGGAGACCCACTCAACCGCCTCACGAAAGATCTGAAGATTAAGAAAACCAAATTTACGACAGCTTATTCCTTCAACATCCTGCCGAGGCCTCACGACCACCACAACCTCATAATCGTCGACACGCCAGGTCTCGGCAGCCCAGAAGAACACGCCCACAACAAACACATCATGAGCCGCCTAGCCACGCTCCTGCGGAAGGTCTGTGGGCTTCACCACTTCGACATCATAGGCTTTGTCATCCCAGCAAAAATCCAAAAGCTCCCGGACTCCTACAGATCCGTCTACAAGCACCTATACTCCCTTCTGACAGACGAAGGAAGGGAGAAGATAATCATCATGGCCACGCAATCTGACGCCAAGAGGCCGCCCGTCATCGATGCCATTAACAAACTGTCGCTGCCGTTTGCGCGAGGTCTCAAGTTCAACTCGCACTCGGTCCTCACAGACGTGACTACTGAACACCAGGAGGCCGATAACCACAGAGTTATCAGTGAACTCTACTGGAAAATAGAACAATGTAATCTTTTCTCTCTCTTTGCTGAGTTGAGGGATTAACCTAAAGTTAAATTATCATTATTGGCTGCAAAATTCATTAAATTATAAAAATCAATAAAACGAAGCGAGAGTTATTTTACATAGCAAAGTAGGCTACATAGTAGAGTTATGCTTTGGCGGAGAATATATTATTTCCCCATTGTCGGGGGACAAGAAGCCTATACTTAGTACTTAGTCTATATCGTTGTTCCTTAAGCCGAAGACTGGCTTTCCTCAGGATGCTACCCACAACAGTTACTTAAGTCCTGAATATCTTTCTTCCTACAAGGTGAACCGTGGAATGAAGTATTGAGTACCGTGCCCTAACGTCTCCTCCTGCTCGGGAATCGAACCCAGGATCATTGGGTTGTGAGGCGACAGAGCTGACTAATATTGTAAAATTTGTTGCAAAAATGTATTTGCTAATGGAAACTTTTTTGATTCTCAAATTGTTGTATTAATGTCTTATTCATACATTGTAATGATACATATACATCTTCAGATAGACAAAGTATGCATTAATAGTAAAAGTCTGGGAAAGTTCCATGGCCGATCCATAGACAAAAGATTTAACTTCAGAACAGCATATCACCAAGAAAGTATTTCAAAGCTGTTGATATACTCTCAAAAATCATATATCATATACCCCCACTCTGTTCTTCTCACACTGTTCACTAATCTATCCCTATCTAACGTATGGTATCTGTGCATGGGGGCTTATAACCACTACAAACTACCTCAAGCCCATCATCAACCAGCAAAAATCAGTTATCAGAAGTATACCAAATTTTGTCTTCAGACAACACACAGCCCCTCTGTTTATATCCAGACACATGGCTGAACATACACTCACTCCACACATTCTCTTGTGTCATTTACACTTACAAACCCTTATTCCTAAATTCTAATACTATTGTGAAACTTACTCTAGAGGGGTGTAATAGAACCTATGAACACCATACCAGAAATAAATATATTTTGTGTATTCACAGAATCAGACAATATGTATGCAAACACAATACATACAAAAGGGAAACTCCCTTTATGTGTGAATTATTCTAATTCACTATTAATTAGTGAATTAAAAACAATAAAGTACCTGATTTTATTACCACCTTTACTCTCTAGAAATACGACTACAGCAATATAATTTCTATACGTTATTGACTTTGCAAGATTATACTTAATCACCATTGTATGTATGTACCTATTGAATTTTTATGTGCATAAATAAATGAATAAGTATATGTACAATAAATTATTATTATTTGTAAATAGTTACTATATAAAATGGACATTTTATAATGTCATATTTTTCTAAATCACATATATAAAATAAAGATAAAGCTTACTTGCTGGAGCCTTGACAAGGGTCTTTCATCTAGATTAAATATAAACTGTCTGATGTACATTAGTTCTTTATTATTGGTTATACAGCACTAAACCTTACTGTAAACCATAACTTTTCATAGTTACGCCAATAAAGTTTTCTTTCGCTTACATCATCATAGAAAATGGTAACTGAAGGCAGTATTTCATGGGTAACATGTGTATTTTATTACTTTTTTTTTTTGTTCAACCTAATTAGTTTTTTGGGGGGTTCATAATAATATGGGTACTCCATGTCAAGGACAATAAGCCAGTATTGGGCTCATCGAGGTTTTCCCAACCACAAGAGGGACTCTCCCGTCGCGGTCACCAATCCAGTTACTCATCACGGTGTTTAAACTGAATCGGATAGCATTGCTTTACACCAAAGGGAATTGTACATGTATATATATTTTTTGTTAGATTTACCTGAACTTTACCTGAGAGCCACTATCTCTCTAGTGGTCTCAATGAAAACAGGAAGCCGGCGGCTTGTCCAAGGTCCCGCCATTTGTCCTGATGATTTTGTTGAGTTCTATTTTGAAATTCAGCAGTATTTTGGCATTTATGGCTTCAGCGGGTAGGCGGTTCCATGGGTTTATATAACTAAGGAGAAAAAAGCATTTCCTGTTTTCCGTCCTGTATTGTGGCTTCTTGAGCTTGAACCGTTGGTCTTATTTTGCGTCAAATTACCTTATTAAATCTTACCTATTGAAGAAGTTGTCTGGATCAATATCCTCCAAATTGTTCAGTATTTTTACATGTTTGATGAGATCAGACCTCATACCGTAACCCAAGACAATTGTTTAGTTCCTGGATACCTATAGACTGCTAGTGAACAGAGGCAACAGGAGAAAGACAACGTGGCCTAAACGTCTCTGTCCTCACCAATAAAACGGGTAAAGATATGTATACAGCAATAAACAAAACAGAACTTCTAATTGGCTTGATGTGGTGGCCTAATGACCCATCAACCTCTGGAGAGTAACCCGTCCTTAGACCAAGTCCATTCCATCCAGCGGTCGACCCCACAGACGCATTCATAAATTTTAACATTCTGTTCATTCAAAACAGGAATTTTCTTAAATATAAATTAATATTATTTTATATTACCATATTGTACATATTTAGGCCCTGGTTAGGTGTTTAGGTTCTGTTGGCGATTATTTGTATTTATAGTATGTGGGTGAAGCATTTACAGCGTTGTGGTTCGAACAAAATTCGTGAGTGAAGCATTTGTTCCGGAAGTGTTCGAACGTCATCAGTTGTGAGTCGTGTGTAAACCGATCACAGGATGATAGCAATAGTTGTGGATTCCCTCACATGGAGTATTTGTCGACGGCAGATATACAAGGCATTAGGACAGTCTTAGATAGTTCCCTCGACGTGGCAATGATTGTTATGGATACAATCAATATTGGCCGTTCTCTTGCTTGGCCACTCCGTGAAAATCACAACTGTTTAACCTAACCAGACGCTGTCCAACCACTTGGGCTGGACGGTAGAGCGACGGTCTCGCTTCATGCAGGTCGGCGTTCAATCCCCGACCTTCCAAGTGGCTGGCCACCATTCCTTTCCCCCCTGTCCCATCCCAAATCCTTATCCTGACCCGTTCCAAGTGCTATTTAGTCGTAATGGCTTGGTGCTTTCCCCTGATAATTATCTTCTTCACTAACCCCAACAACCCCCCTAACCCATCGAGACCTCTGCATAGAATATTTACAGTGATATAATTTTTCCCTTTATCACATTTTTTATCCATTCCGTACAAATTGCGACGTATTAGATGAGGGACCGAGTTGTAGGGTCCAGTTTGGTGGTACTGCTGATTCACTAACGACTCAGCGATGGTGATCTAAGGAACAACACCAGCTGTACCACTGTCAGTCTGCTTATATACGGTGACGAGTGTGTTTGGACCTTTGTATCTTGCTCCTTGAGGAGACACCCCTCGAGTGCTAGCCATCAAAACCAAACTAGTTACGAAACCTGTATATCTTTCCACAATCATGGCGGCTTTTGTTTACATCTACTAAACAGTTCATGAGCTGCGAAGCATTACGGGGTTGTTTATAACAATAATGACCTTTGGATTGTGATGTTTCGGGGCTCATAAACTGTTTATTACTTGTAAACAAAGCCACCATGATTAAGATGTACAGGTTTCGCAAGGATTCTTGTCCTCATACAGGATATGAGGACAAGAATCTGTAATATGACGGCAGGAAAGAACGATGCCCAACCAATTCGACTCTTGGGAATCGAACGCCGACCTGCAAGAAGCGAGGCTGGCGCTGTACCGACCAGTCCAAGTGGCTGGTTGGGGAGGCAGTATGAGCCTAATTACCGCGGTGCCGCTAATTACGTAAGTGTTAATGTGGATTACTGTTAAGGGCCGCGGACGAGTGCATCATCTCTTGTTGTCTGGTTATCTTTAATAAACTTGCGTATAGGCACTCCGGCACGCCCTGGCGTTAATTTATCTTCGTGCGTGATGAAGTGTGCACAGTCACACCCTGGCATGCGTATGCGTTCGTTCGAACACGCATGCGTGTGCGTGCATTGATGCGTTGATACGCTCGCGCGTGTGTATGTGTGTATGCATTAGCACATGTGATATCTTGTGTTTGTGATATGGTATCATGTGCTCGTGTTTGTATGGGTGCCCCCAGGCGTGTGTTTGGCCAATCCTGGCCATTAGAAAACCAGAACCATCTAATTTACCAATGTAAGAATTAGGCTGCTAAGCTGCCTCAAAGGACAGTCTTCAATTTCCCCTCCCCCCTTGTCGTACCCATGGGAAGTCAAGTGGTTAAGGGACTAAACCCACATCACATAAACGTTGGGTGAGCGACTGTTTGCTAAACAGATTTAGTAAAAGGACCTTGGGGGATTGCCTTGTTTGATGATTACACACCCACCATTCAGGGAAGTGGGGGGGGGGGGGAAAGAGGAGGGGGGGGGGACTAAACGTTTGCTACAGAGACTGATAAATAGGTAAAAATCTATTGCGTATTGCGCGAAACGCTGCGCGTATTATGGCTTTAGGCTATATAGTCTTAAGTCTATGCATCTTAAGTCTATGCGTCTTAAGTCTATGCGTATTAAGGCTTTAGGTATTGTATGTACTAGCTCTATCTATAAATTCAACTTTGTTTGTAAATCGACTAAGTATGTACTTTTCCTGAATAAAGAATTTGAATTCCTTTATTTTGGGAAATATCTATCTTTCCAAGAGTTAAACAAATAAGACAAAATATATGGATATTAAATGAATTGTTTCGATACTTTACTAATAATGTGTTTAAGCTTCGATAACGCGAAGAAAAATTGGCCCAAAATGGATAGGCAAGTTAATTATGTATTGTTTACATAGATGACGTAGAGAAGGTAATGTTTTCCTCAGCTCCTGGACCCTACTCGCCAGACTTTTGGGCAGACTCTTCCAAAATTATTCTCTTAGATTCCTAATACATGGTAATGATAATTATGAACAGAAAACGCTAAGCCATGTTGACTATATAATACATGGAAGAGTTACGGGGAATTGATTCGATCTGGGATTGAAATTGAAATAAGTTTATTGAGGTAAAATACACACAAATTGATGAGGTACCTCAAGCTATTCTCACCCCGTTCCGATGTGGGATAGATAGATGGAGTGAAGGAACGGTGATAACCACTTGACCCATCGGGGATCGAACGCTGACCTGCAAGATCGTCGCTGTACCGACCGGCCCAATAGGATGGACATGCTTTATAGAGCAGTCGTAAGCTTTATTTGAACCATCGTAAAGCTAATCCTAATTAAATCCTAATTAAATTCTAATCCTCCACCCCCCCCCCCACACACATACACACATGAGATCATTAAATTTCATGTTCTTGCAAACAATCAAGTACTCGTAGACAAACCTTCCCCTCACAATCAGGGAATCATTCACAATCAGGCAATTACTCACAATCAGACACTCACTCACAAGTAAGCACTCAGAAGAGAGCAGTAACTCACAAAGCACTAAGATGTACAGGTTTCGCATATCATGCGAAGCATACATGATATGTATGATTATATATCGCTTGAAAGGAACATGAGGAAACAGTCGAAAACCTCCCCCACCAAGAAGGGTCAAGAATAATAAATAATAATATGCCTATACCATATAGTATATACACAGTATAATATACGATGAAGTTAAGACATGAACAATTTCTGAAAGGACATCTTACGACCTACTTTTGTAAAAGATGGTTGGGAGGGGGGGGGGGGAGGGCGGGGAGGGGGGGGTATTATTTTCTACCACAGACGTGGCCACAGATGTACAATGCTAACCACCATATATATATATATATATATATATATATATACATTTTCACTACGATCTGTGGGAAGGGTGAACTCAAAGCGACTGAATTTCTACATTTTGACTGAAATGAGTCAAAAGTAGACTCATTTCACGACCAAAGAACAAACATATTCACTCCAAACATCTACCAGGGCCTGACAGCTGAGTGAACAGCGCTCGGGATTCGTAGTCTTGATGGCTCCGGGTTCGATCCCCGGTGGAGGGGGGGGGGAAACAAATGGGCTTCTTTCACCCTGATGCACCTGTTCTCCTAGCAGTAAATAGGTACCTGCGAGTTAAACAGCTGCTACGGGCTGCTTCTTGAGGATGTGTAACAAAAAGGAATGGACCGGGCCGCGGGGACGCTAAGCCCCGAAATCATCT